ACTCATGAGGCCAGCTTCCTGGCTCTTGGTCTTTCAAAGTCCACAGTGGCATAAGCTCCCACGCAAAACCTTTTTTGCACCCCATTTGTGCTTCTTCTACAAAGCGTTGTTGTTCTCTCATTCTCTCACTGGACAAGGCCATAGTGCGTGATACACATTGATATGTTCGTGGATGAGTTTTGTTGTTGTTCTTTTTCTTTCTTTTTTTCTTTTTGTGTTTTTCAAGACAGGGTTTCTCTGTAGCTTTGGAGCCTGTCCTGGAACTTGCTCTGTAGACCAAGCTGGCCTTGAACCCACAGCGATGCGCCTGTCTCTGCCTCCCCAGTGCTGGGATTAAAGGCATGCACCACCACCAACCAGCCTCCACGGACACTTTCTTATGGGCTTTCACACTACCAAGCATCACTGATGGGGCAATGTCCGGATGACTGGCTCACTCGGGTGTAAAGTAAACATACATCTGAATTCTCAACCTGGAAGACCAGTGACCTAGTTATCCTTTAACTTGCACAAGACATTTTCTTGGGCTTGGAACTGAGCTCAGCAGTAGAGCCTTTGCTGGCACACGAGGCCCTGGGTTTCATTCTTAGTACAGCCAATTAAAAGGGAGTTGAAGAGCTTGATGGGGAGGCACATATTTATAATCCTAGCAGCAGGAGGACCTGGAGTTTAAGGACTCCACAAAGACCCTGCTTTTAAAAAAGAAGCCTGTACAGTGGTAAAGGCGCTCAATACCTGACTTCAGCCCTGGGAAGCTACATGGAGAAGGTAAACCAACTCCTGCAAGTCGTTTTCTGACCTCCACATACAAGCCCAACCCCCATAATAACTAAGTATGAAAAAAGATACATTTTCTTCCCATTAGCTGCTTAATTTGAGGAAGAAAAAAAAGGAAATCTTAGGGACATAGGGAAATGAGAGGCTGACAATACTTTATAACCACAAACCTAACTTCATCTATCATCCACCTTATTCTAGCTGAAGGGCTCATCACCAACAAGATTAGTTTGGCCATGTTTTATAGATTTCTTTGGTCTAAACACCTGGTGTATAAAAACTAGTTTCAAACCATCAGAAACAAGGCTGGGCATGATGGTGCATGCCTTTAATCTCAGCAGAGGCAGGTGGATCTCTGTGAATTCGAAGTCAGCCTGATCTACATACTGAGTTTCAGGACAGTCAGGAAGAGAAACTGTCCAGAAGAACAGTTGCTGATCTAGTTTCTGGAGCAGGAAAATGCCTTCCAATTACAAACCACTCTCATTGCCATTTGAGTTTTGCTGAAGATAGAGGACTCAATTCAAAATTTGAAGCATGGGAAAGGCCCTGGTTATCCTCAGGGCACTCCCTATATCAACAAGGTCTGAACCAACAGTGAGTCGGTTCTTCATTTCATCTCCCCACTGGGAACGTTTTTAAAGAATCATTTCTTTGGTGAAAGACACATTACACTCTCTGAACTGTCTTTAGAGTGTGGCTGTCAACCTTCTGAAGAAACACCCAAAGGAACAATTGCACAGAAGGGAAGCACCCACAGACAAGCAGCAGCTTGTTTACAGAATACCCAAGGCGATTCAGGCCGGCCCCTCCTCAGTGGAACGACCACTCTATACTGGGTATTTCAAAGACACTCAAGAAGGAAAAAAAAATGACTTCAGATCCTGACACGGGAAAGACATTCTGACATGACCCAACTTCATAGTGTTAGAAGTCAGCAATCCCAAGGATAACGGTGTTTTTGGATCCATGAAGTCTGGTCATTCAATTTTACAATCAGCCAATTCCCATTTGATAATCTACTCTCTGTTTCCACCCGACTTTTCTTCTACTTGTTTGTTTTGCTTTTTTCATTTTTGAAGACTGGGCATATTCAAAACTCATTACCAGTAGGGAGACCAGGTAACCTCCAACTAAGAATTTTTATGCCAGCAACTGCCTGCATCTGAAAACTGTGGAGAGTCAACTGGATGTGGTGATGTGGACATGCTTCACTCCTCCTCAGCCTTCTCCTCCAAAGGTGCACATTAAGGGAATCAAATTCATGACTGACTTTAGAGGCCAGATGGGGTAGCCCACGCTTACAATCCCAGCCTTTAGAAATACAGAAGGCTGAGTCGGGACTATTCCTTTGCATTTGGAGCCAGCCTGAGCTACAGTGTGAAAGGCTGACACTTGCAGACAAACAAACAAAAACGTTCAAATAAACATCTGAAGTCAGGCACTTGGGAGGCAGAGACAGGTGGATCTCTAAGAGTTTAAGGATAACCAGATCTAGGCAGTAAATTCTATGACAGTCAGAGCTACACACTGAAACTTTATGTGGTGGTTTGAAGGAGAATGGTCCCATAGACTCCTAGGTCTGTGGGACTGTTTGGAAAGGATTAGGGGGTATGGCATTTGAGTCAGTGTCCTGGTCTCTGTCAGGTGCCTCAGGATCAGGATGTTAAATTCTTAGGTCCAGCACCACGTCTGCCTGCCATACGCCCCCTGCCATGATGGTCATGAACCCTCTGAAACTTTAATTAATGCTTTCTTTTAGAAGAGTTGCCTTCATCACAGTGTATCACTTCACAATGAAAGGACAGTAACTAAGACACTGTCTCAAAAACAAAGCAAACATTAAAAATGAAAGCCGGCTCTCAGGGCTTGGCTTAGGGAGTGCTTGCTGCTCTTGCAGAAGACTGGAGTTCCACTCCCAGCACTCTCATCAAGTGGCTCACAATGGCCAGGGACCCGACGACATCTGGCGTCCTCACGCACCTACACACTGAGCACAGCATGCACAGCTCACTTTGTCAACTGAAAAAGGCTAGGAGCGGCACACACCTTGAGCCCAGCACTCCTCTTGGGAAGTCAAAGCAGGGCAGGCAGATCAGCCTGGTCTACATAGGAAGTTCCAGGCAAGCCAGGACTACACAGTGAGACCCCACCTTAAAAACAAAACAAAAAGCCCAGAGGACAGGGGAGCAACTCAAGAGTCTGTGTTCAGCATATTTGTAGCCAGGGGATCTGATGAACAACATGGAAAAATAAAAAGAAATAAATAAAAGAAACAGATAAAGACCAACTCAAGTCTTTTCAAGGTAGAAAGGTAGCAAAATGGTAGCAAAGGAAGTCCGTTTTGAAATCAGTCTTGGAGTCAAATCCCCAAACCTCAATTTCCTGTCTAGAAAAGCAGAGCAGCTTCCAGGCAACTTATTTTGAAACTAAATTAAATAAAAAGATACATATAATCATGCTGCATGCCTTTAATCACAGCACTTGAGAAGTCAAAGCAGATGGATCTCTGAGTTCCAGGTTAGTATAGTCTACAGAGTAAGTTTCACATTAGCCAGGGCTACATGAAACCTGTAAAAACCAGGGTTTTGAAACCCTGTCTCAAACAAACAAACAAACAAATGTAATTAGAAAAAAAAAAAAGGTTTTTCTTTTTCTTTTTTTTTTATGCAGGGGTGACACGAGGTTGTCTGGGTGACTCACTCCTAGTAGCAGTCTATAAATGCTTCTACCGGAAACTGGGCATCTTCTGGCGAAGTCACTACTGTGCACACTTCCTAACACATAGCACACACTCAAAAATATTTGTGGAATGTGTAAATACCCAAATGACACCTGTTGTTCTCTATAAAAACCTTTAACTTGCTGGGTGTGCAGGCACACGTCTTTAATCTCAGCACTTGGGGAGGCAGAAGCAGGCAGACCCTTGTGAATTCAAAGACAGCCTGGTCTATATGGTGAGTTCCAGGACAGCCAGGGCTACAAGCGCAAAAACAAACAAACAAACAACAACAACAAAAAAACACTAAAACGAACAAAAAACCCTGTAGCTTGCTTTCTTGGTTCAAGCTGGAAGGCCATCTTAAAACTACGAAACAATCTCTGAACCAAGTACTCTTTCAAATACTCGATTATGTTAAGTGGGGAAACATCACCAATCTTTCAAGAAATGCCGAACCAGCGGAAAAAACTTCGCAGCCAAGTTTCAACATTCCTGTGAAGATACACCCGCTGCTGCACTGATCCGAAGCGCCAGGCTCAGACAGACCCAGCTTCTACTCTCACAAGCTTTTGCGATGCATGTCACCGGAGCCCAGGACGGCACAGGAGCGGACACATGGTCACCAGAGAGACGTTTCCGTCTCCAGGAGGATTACCGTCAAACCTCAAACTCTGAAATTACCACATTCACCACCAACCTAGCAAACGAGTTCCTACTTGAGCTAGTTTTTTTTTCCCCTGTAACTTTTGGAGGCAAGCAAAAACTCCCAATCATTCCGATCGGTAATCTCCCCTTCTCCTCGCAGGCATGGGGCTATCTTACAAATCGCACCCTTTCTCCCTACCCTCCACCCGGGCGAACCTACTCAGAGATCCTCCCCATTACGCAGATCTTTGGGGTGGGTGTCGGGAAAGAGAGGATGCTAGCTGAGTTTAGGGGAGCTCTGTTGAGATCCCCAGGAAACCCAACTGCCTAGGGCTCTTGGAGTAAAACTGAGAGGAAAAAAAAGAAAAAAAAAAAACCAAAAAACCCAGGCTCGCCCACCGAGGCGAAAGGCAGATAGCGGCGGGGGATTTCGGTTCAGCGCCTAGTGGTCCCAGAGGACACATGGTTGCTTGCTCCCCGCTGTCTGGGGCCTCCTCCCGCTCTTCCTCCGAGTCAGACACGCCGCCCCAGCCTTCAGCAGACAGAGCACACGAACTTTAAAATGGTCCCTGGGGCGAGGGGGACCAGAGAGAGTGGCCCGGGGTAGAGGGTGGGGCGCCCTCAGCGACGCGCACACCGCGGGACGGAGAGGCACCCGGCAAAGGTTGAGGAAGAAATGGAACGCGGCCCCTTTAAGAGGCCTTCACGGCGCTCCGGGACCGGGAGTCTCTCTTCTTTCTCCGGTCCGCTGTGTGGGACCCTTTCTGGGGGAAAACTCTCCTCAGACCCGCTCCCCGGAGGCTTCCCTCACGCCAGGTCCGCCTGGCCCTGCCACGGTGCGGCAGCTCCTCCTTACCCCGCTGTCTGCCGCCTCCTCCCAGCTCTCAGCGACCTCCTCATCTTCCATCTTACTCGCCGCTTTCCCTCCTCCCCCAACCCCTCCCCGCGCCTGCGCCTTGCAGCGCGCCACGGTCGCGGGCGGAGGCACGCAGGGCTTTCCTCAATGGACCACGCCCCCTCACCCAGCCCGGAAGAGGCTGCGGGCCAAATCCTCGGCGAACCTGGTCCGCCATCGTGGAAGAGGGCGGCGAAGGGCGAGGGCGTCCATCATTCTTGAGGTCAACCCTTCGGCTCGTTTATGGGATTAGAAGTTACGTGCTTGAGTTCGAGAACTGTGTACTTTGAAACTACCTTCTCTAAGATCAGGCAATTGTCGAAAAAAAAACAAACATTTTTTTTCCTCCAAAATTTGAATCTCAAAGGAAAAGAAAACGAGCGAGTCTAAGTTTGTCTAAGCTACAGGTTATGATTTTTGTTCTACACCGTTCTGAAAACATTGCTGTACTTCAACAAAGGATTTAAAATATCTCCTATAAAGACAACATTGGATTAGCCGGGCTGTGGTGTGGCGCGTCTTTAATCCCAGCATTTGGGAAAAAGAGGCAGGTGGATCTCTGTGACTTTGAGTCCAGCCTGGTCTACTGAGAGTGAGTTCCAGAACAACTAGGGTGACACAGAGAAACCCTGTCTTAGAAAACCAAAACGAGCAAACAAATAAATAAATGATTGTATTGTTTCTATCTGATAGGATGAAAGTTTTACATTTTTTTTTAACTCATAAACGGTATTCTAGGGCTGGAGAGATGGCTCAGCAGTTAAGAACAATGACTGCCTGTTCGTCAGAGGACCCAGGTTCATTTCCCAGTACCCACATGGCAGCTCACAACCGTCTATAATTCCAAGATCTGACACCCTCACCCAGACATGCATCCGGGCAAAACACCAATGCACATCAAATAAAAGTAAATTATTTAAAACAAAACAAAACGGAAAAACAGTATTCTAGGGACTGGACTCCGGAGAACCCAGGGTCAGTTCACAACTATCCGTAACTCCAGTTCTGGGGCGCCAGAGGCCCTCTTCTGGCCGCTGTAGTCACCAAGCATACGCGTGGTGCACAGTGGTAAAATTTTTAGTTAGGCTGTCTAAGGACCCTGGCAAATCCGTAACTGAAGTTGATCAAGACGGACCAGCGTGGTGAAGTGATTGGTTAAAGGAAAAATTAAAAAGCAGCAAGTAGAAAAGATTGAAAAAATGACGGCTGAAGATGGTGAAAATTAGGCCATTTAGAAGCAGGCCCGGAAGAGTTCCGGATGATGACTCCAGAGCGCCAGCTCGGGTTCGAGGCTGCACATACCGATCTCCCGCACATCAGAACGTGGTAGAGGCTTGGAAGAAGCTGAAGGGCAGAGAGAGGGATGGGAAGTACTGTTCAGTGAAGTTAGAAGCCTGACATTTTTCTGTACAAGGTATTTTTTTTTTTTTTGCATTAAGTCCTGGGCTCCATTCTATAATTTGTTATTTTTTGGCTACCGGCTGTGTGTTTCATAATATGAGGATATGGTTCTTTTTAGGCAGTTGCATATATTTTGCTTCGCATAATTTAATATGTCAGATAAATGAATTCATCCGGGGGGGGGGGGAAATGCTAGTTAAACCAGGCCTTTAATCAAACAACTCAGGCGGTAGAAGCAGGCAGATCTCTGTGAATGCCAGGTCAGTCTGGAGAACATAGGAAGATCATGTTTCGAGAAAAAGTTCATAATATTGCATCTAAACTCAAACAGAATTCCCCACCACCAAAGTTCTTCTGGATAACAGTTAAATATATTAGACTATATTTTTTAAATTATTAAGCTTTGTTTTAGATTTAAAAAAAAAAAGCTTTATATGGATGTTTTGCCAGGCATACCCGGTACGTACAGATCATGTGGAGGCCAGATTCCCTGAAACTGGAGTTAATGGATCCTTTTGAGCTACTGTGTGGGCGTTAAGAACTGAACCCAGGTCCTCTTCAAGAGCAGTAAGGGGGGCTGGAGAGATGGCTCAGAGGTTAAGAGCATTGCCTGCTCTTCCAAAGGTCCTGAGTTCAATTCCCAGCAACCACATGGTGACTCACAACCATCTGTAATGGGATCTGGTGCCCTCTTCTGGCCTGCAAACATACACACAGACAGAATATTGTATACATAACAAATAAATAAATATTTAAAAAAAAAAAAGAGCAGTAAGTACTCTTAAATATTGAGCTTCAGGGCAGAGTCCTTGCTTAGCATACACATGCACAAATACTCTGAGTTCTGTCTACAGCATCCCACACAAAAACTGTGCTTCTAGGGGGCTGGAGAGATGGCTCAGAGGTTAAGAGCATTGCCTGTTCTTCTAAAGGTCCTGAGTTCAATTCCCAGCAACCACATGGTGGCTCACAACCATCTATAACGAGTGTTGGTGATCTTTTCTGGCTTGTAGGCATACACGCCGTACAGAACACTGTATCCTAAATATAAAATCTTAAAAAAATAATAACACCGAAAAAAGGTAAACTCCTACCAACACTTGGAGTTTGAACAAGTACTGTGATCTTATGAAACTTGTATAAAGTTTCTGTCCCTCAGTTTCCCTAAGCATAGAAGTAATCGTAGCGACTTCAAAGCTGTATCAAGCCACTCTGCTGAGGGTTGAGTACATAACCCAGTGGTCAAGCACTTCCCTAACATACTGGAAGCCTAGGTTGTTTGTTTGGTTGGTTGATTTGTTGGTTGGTTGGTTGGTTTGGGTTATTTTGAGTCAGCGTTTCTCTGTGTAGCTCTGGTTGTCCTAGACTTGATTTGTAGACCAGGCTGGTCTCGAACTCACAGAGATCCACTGCCTCTACCTTCCAAGTGTTGGGAAGGAAGCCTAGGTTTAGTATTACACTTTATTACACTGGAGAGTCTCAACCAATATCTGACTCACTGTAAAAATTCTAAGGGTTATGACTGGGGAGGGGGCGGCTTGCCAGTCTGAGGAAGATTTACAGTTCTCTTTTCTCTAATCATTTTCCCCAAACACAGGGGGCGAGGAGCAAGCATCGTGTGTTTTCATGTCAGGGACATGCTCTGTGTCCTTTGTGCTATTAAAAACATGCTGCTCCACAGGGCACCATTCAGCTGCTCTAGCCAAGCTTGGGATGTGTTTTTGCCCTCATGGTTTTAGGATGTCACTAGTCTTAATAGAGTAACAGCTTCTTATGGTGACATTTTGCAGTTTGTATTCTTAGAGATTATAATTGTAACCAAGTTGGTAAAATGTTACTAGTTTTTATCTCCTAGTTGAGTGACCTGTTTACCAATTCCCTGATTTCACAACTTCCTGTATTGTTGACTCCAGGTCTGTCCTCGCTCCATGCCCTTACCTAGAACCTTCTGCTCTCGGCCTCCACCTGTATACTGAAGACTTCCTAGATGTTTCAGATTTCAGTCCTGTCCCATCCATGTCTTCCTAACCCACCCCGCCCCACCCCCATCAGCAGGGTCTCACTGTGAGACCATCTTCAAGAAAGGATGCCATCTTGCCCTTCTCTGGGGACTGTATTTATATGTAATAGAGTCTTCTGTGAATCTGATTTATTGTTTTGTTTTGTTTTTCGAGACAGGGTTTCTTTGTAGCTTTTGGAGCCTGTCCTGGAACTAGCGTGAATCTGTTTTAAAGTGTATGCGTGTGCGCGTGCGTGCGTGTGTGTGCGTGCGTGTGAGTGTTTGTGTGTGTGCCTTTTCACATGTGTACGTGTGTAGAGGTCAGAGATTACCTGGCATGTGTCTCCCTTATTCTCCACATTATATATTGAGTCGGGGTGTCGCACTTTAACCCTTAGCTGCAGGATTCAGCTCCCTTAGGATGCTCTGTCTCCAGCTCTCGCCTGTTCAGGGATTACAGGTATGTCTCCACTGTCATTTATTGGGTGCTGGGATCCGAATTCCAGTCTTCACATTTACACAGCAAGTTCATTACCAGGTGAGCCCTCCCTTGAGTCTCTGAATTCATTTCTTGAAGTGAATTTTCTTGTGTCTTGAAAAGTTAATGAAATCTCAAACGTCAACTAAAAAGGCCTACAGGTGGAACATCAGATTCTCAGTAATTTTTGGCCTTGTAGTTACAGAGTGCTGCCAGCAGAGGGAGACCATTTCTTACAATTCCTCTGTGGTAGACGATTTTAAAAGTAGGACAATCTTTAGTTGTGGTTTTCAAGAGAACCAGAAAGATCTAAATCTTGGGAATCATTTGAGGATGCTGTAAAGATAATAACTTTAGTTCTACTAAGTGGGAAATCAAGAGGCCATCCCTAATTAATCACAGCAGCCCCTTGAGACTTTGGGCAAGCCCTTTCCTCGCTTGGTCTGTTTTCTTCTCTACAAGAGGAGGGCATGGGACAGAAAACTCCACAGTTGAGAACACGGGGGCAGTTTCATTTTTCAAGGGGAAGCCCCCAAAGTTGAGATTGTGACAAAATTCGTGTATTGGCAGAGACCCTAAGGCATGTGCTTCTGTTTCTTGTGAAATACCCTTAGCCACAGTTCATGTTTGACTTGTAAGTTAAGAAATCACCGTCAAACCTGCGGTGTGATAGGAATGCAAGCACAGAGCCTGTCGTGAGACAGCCACTGGCACAAGCTGAGGAAAAGTACGCAGTTAAACGTGTGGTGGGCATGCGAACAGACAGGAGTGTGCTTGCACCCACCCATGTACATTCAAAAGAAGAAAAGCAAATGCTGGACTGTTCTCTTTTTCTCTTTAAGAAAGAAAAAGTTTGGGCAGTGATGGCACATGCCTTTAGTCCCAGCACTCAGGAGGCAGAGGCAGGCAGATCTCTGTGAGTTCGAGGCCAGCCTGGTCTACAGCGTGAGATCAAGAACAGGTTTCAAAGCTAGACAAAGACACTCTGTCCTGAAAAACAAAAACAGAAAAGAAAAAAACAAAACAAAACAAAAAAATTTTAGGCTCCACAGCTACACAGAGAAATCCTATCTTGAAAAACCAAAAAAAAAAAAAAAAGAAAAGAAAAGAAAAAGAAAAAAGAAAAGAAAAAAGGAAAGTAAAGAAAAAAAGAAAGAGAAGAAAAGTTAGTTTGAGAGGGGTGTACTAGTGTATGCCTTTGGTCCCAGAACTATGGAGGCAAAGGAAGGAAGATATTTGTGAGTTTGAGCCTACATAGCAAGTTCCAGAAGAGTCAGCGTTACCTAGAGCCTTTTCAACAAAACAAAACAAAAATGATGAAATATATACAAGGATTTTTTTTCTCCCATTTATTTGCACCTGTAAAATCTCTGGAAAGATAAAAGGGGCTTAACAGAAGTTAACTTGGTGCGGGAGGGTGTTGACCCAGAGGGGTGTGACAGAGGTTGATTAGTGTGTGGGAGGGTGTCGACCAAGTAACTGAGGGGCTACTAGTTAAACTTCTTAATGTCTGCAGATCCGAAGATTCTAGGCAGGCTCTCTACCACTGAGCCATGTTCTTACTCCAATTTATGTTTTCTTATGCTTCTTTTTGTGATTTTGAATGTTGTATGATGGGCATATGTTACCTATCCTAAATAACTAAAACCATAAAATGTGTTTCTGTAATTATTTGCACAGACTCTAAGGAACATGCGTTTAAACTTACTGGAAAATCTGAGCCACACCTTTCATCCCGGTCTCATCCCTGTCCCCAGCCTTCCTATGGCCAAGAGACAATGCTGAACCATTGTCACATAATCTCTCTACCCAGCCTCCATCACCATAGAGAAGACAGCCAATCTTCCTGATGGTCCAGGTCCCATGTCATCAGGCTTAGCCTCCCGTCTGTTGGAACTCTTGCAGAGTTCAAGAGCCTCTGCTTTGAAGCCACAAGAGCCTCTGGGTTTGAACCCGGCTGTTTGGGTGAGCTACTTCTTCTTGAGAATCCTGTTTCTGCATCTACACGATGAGCACGTTAGTGGCACCCATGTAGCGGTGTTGGGCACCTGATAAGATCAGTAAGTGAGGCTGGGGAGATGGGTCATTGGTGAAGCGCTTGCAACACAAGCATGAGGACCTGAGTTCAAATCCCCAGAACCGAGTAAATCTGGGCATAGTGGCAGGTATTTATAATCCCAGTGTGCCTACAATGAGGCAGGAGAATCCTGAATGTCTATGGGCTAGCTAGACTGGATTACTCTACAGGGGACAACAAAGAACCCCTGTCTCAAATGAGGTGGAAGGTAAGGAAAGTTCAGATACCTGAAGCTGTCCTTGGGTTTCTACACACATAGCATGAGCATGCAAGCATGCAAGCACATGCATCTTCTCACATACATCCTAAAAATAAAAACCGTCAGAAAAATGTAAACTACGATTAGTATTAAATAATCTAATAACACTTTTCTGTATATGGCAATTAATACAAGCACAGATTTATGTTCTTGCAAGAGCTCCTTAGGAATCATGGACCTTATCAGTTTTACTTCTGTCACAGGCTGGTGAGATGGCTCAGCAGGTAAAGGCACTTGTTGCCACTCCCGATCACTTCAGTGTAATCCCTGGAACCATGAGGTCAAAGGAGGCTGTGGTTGTCCTGTGACCTCCATACACCCCCCCTCACATCACATACACTCTCAGAAATAAAGGTTAAAATGTTGTTATATATACATTATACATATATTCACATGGATATATATATATATATTCATATATATATCAGGGCCAGGCATGTTGATTCATGGTTATAAACAATCCCAGTACTTGGGAAGATGGGATAGGAGGATCACTTTTTTTTTTTTAAAAGATTTACTTATTTATCATATATACAGTATTCTCAGTATTCTGTCTGCATGTGTGCCTGCAGGCCAGAAGAGGGCACCAGATCTCTTTACAGATGGTTGTGAGCCACCATATGGTTGCTGGGGAACTCAGGACGTTTGGAAGAGCAGGCAGTGCTCTTAACCACTGAGCTATCTCTCCAGCCCCTGTGTGTATGGGTCCCCAAGAGGCTAAATAGTGCATCAGATCCTCTGGAGCAGGAATAGACGATTGTGAGCTGCCTGTGGGTGCTGGCAACGGACCTAGGGGCTTCTAAGAGTAGCAAGTGTTCCTCACTCCTGATTCGTTTCTTAAGTCCAGCTTGAGTTTTAGGATATGTTTAAAATTTAAATAACAGGGCTAGAGAGATGGCTCAATGGTTAAGACCTGTATTGCTCTTGCAGAAGGACCTAGGTTTAATTCCCAGCATCCACATAGTGGTGGTAGTAGAGTCACAACTGCTTTTAATTTCAGTTCCAGGGGATCTGACATCCTCTTCTGAACTCCATGGACACTCCCATATGTGGTGCTCACAAGACACTCATGCATCACAGTATTTATTTGTGCATGTGTACACACGTGTGTACAGGCTCACAAGTGACATTGTTGAGGATGAAGTATAACGTGAATTTTAATTGGCCTTAATAATAAAAACTCGGAGTCAGATATTAGGGGGTGTAAACCAAAGAAGAATCAGAGAAGCAGAGCAGCAGCCACTGGAGAGTACTTACCTTTACCAATGCTCATACTGAAGGGGCGATCTGGTTCTATGATTCCTCGGACTGCATTTCAGACTGACTCCTCAGACTGCATCTGAGCCCGTCTCCTCCCGCCTTATATTCTTCTCTCTGCCCAGCCACATCACTCCTGTCTCCTCTTCCCTAGTGCTGGGATTAAATGCATGTAATCCCAAATGCTGGGATCACCTTGGTGTGAACTCTGTTTCTCTTTTAGGCAGATTCAATCTCGGGTAGCCCAGGGTGGCCTTGAACTCACAGAGATCTGTCTGCCTCTGTCTCCCGGGTACTGGCATTCAAGGTGTGTGCCACCATTGCTTGGCCTCTATAGCTAACTAGTGGCTTAGCTCTGCACTCTGATCTTCAGGCAAGCTTTATTTGTTAGAGCACAAAGTATCACCACAGTGTCGTCAGAGGCCAAGATTTCTTTCTTTTTTGGAGACAGGGTCTCATTATACTGACTTTAAACTCAGAAATACCTACCTCTGCCTCCTGAGTGCTGGGATTAACAGTGAACTATCATGCCAAACCAGTGGAATTTCTTAAATCAGTTTCTCACACACTGTATGCCAGGGGGTTTTGTAATACTTGTTTGAGGAACACAAATCTTTTGTAGACTGAGGCTCCTGAAACTAGTTTCAAACTTCTGGAATCAAGCAATTCTTGCCCTTAAGGCTCCTGCATAGCTGGGATTTAAAGGAGTGCCACCAAGCTTTGTGGGGTTTGGCTTCTGACTCAGTCTTACGTCTCAAGAACTAGACTAGGAGGTGTACTTTATCCCAGGGCAATTTGCTTGGTGCTTCAGGGTGCTCCTGTGGCTCAAGAGGTGAAGCCCTTGAGTTCTCTGTATCTGGCATTTATTTAAACCAAACCTGTAGGGATAGATTCTGGGAAGTTCTTACCTACATATAGATTTTTTTCTTTTGTTTTTCGAGACAGTATTTTTCTAGGAAGCCCTGCCTGTCCTGGAATTCGCTCTGTCGACCAGGCTGACCTTGAACTCACAGAGACCCGCCTGTCTCTGCCTCCCCAGTGCTGGGATTAAGCCACAGAGCTTTCTTAAGTGAGACTTTGCGGGGGCCCTGGTGATGGCGACAGTGGGAAGCACTGAGAAACACAGAGAGAAGCCTGTTTTCCTCCCGGGCCCCTGCTCAATGTGGGTAGTTTTGAGTCTGGATTTCCTCATTTATTTTTAAAAAAGGGTGGTAGCAGCTTAGCTGTTGCTCCAGTTTCCAAAGGCGTCTAACGCGGTAAGAAGACTCTCTCTGGCGACGTCTAAAAGCACTGCCATTCGCCACTGCCCTTCTCTGTGCTCAGTGGTTACCCTGGGGCACAAATGACTTAATCTGACAAGTCTTTCGTCTCAAACCACCGGGAAAATAGCCCAGGTACCGCGCCGCCGGGCTATTCCAGACAGAGTCCTGGAATGCTGCGCTCCCTACCGCCCTTCTCAATATGGCGCCGCCCAGCGGCCACCGCGCGCAGGCCGGCCGCGCTGACGTGTGTGCGCG